GCTGGTAGTTTTTCGAACCTTTAGCTTTCTTTTCCACACCTAAGCCAAACTTTGTTTTAGTTGCTATAATGGGTTTTATAATACTTCGCTCAATTTTTTCACGCGTTGTAGGATTTGTTATAGCATCCATTTGTTCAATCATTATTTTATCAGCTATATTTCTACTTAGAGTATCGCTAAAATGTTTATAAGCAAGATCATAAATATAAGCTGCATTGTCAACTCTATCAACAGGTTTCTACTGATGCATTCTTTATATGCATCAGTAGAAGTTAGTCTTTCATCTAAATTAGTAACAGGTCCTGCAAAATTCATACCAGGTAGATGCATTTCTCCTGGGAATTTTGCCCATGGTAAATTTATTTAACTTGTTACTGAGTTTAGTGAATTGATTAAATCACCTCCTTTTTTTCCTCCTTTTACAATTTGAGTTTTTATTGTTTTTACTTAGAGCATGCTGTAAGTTTAGTGAATCTGTTTTGTTTCTACATTTACGGCAGTATATTTTTATTTACTTACTATTTTTTTAATAGATTTAAAAAAAATTCTTTATATAAGAAAATGGAAGTAGTAGATTTATCATGTAATATAATTTAGAAATAATCGTCATAATAATGACTTACTACGAAAGAAGTATAAGAGGACTTATTGTAGGAAAGTCTGGTTGTGGAAAGACAAATCTATTATTAAATTTACTTATAAAACCCGGTTGGTTAGACTATAATTATTTACAAGTTTTTTGGAAATCTCTATTTAAAAAGAATATAAAATAATAGAAAGATGTTTAAAAGAAAAATTACCAAAAGAAGTGATTTTTAATTTTTTTTATTTTTGATGCAAAATGACATTGAAAAAGAAAATGCAGTGTTAGAGTATTTAATTAGTGATGTTTCAAAAAAAAAAAATAATAAAACAGATATGGAGGGTCAATTTTTTGAAACAGCAGATGATGTCCTAGAACCTAAAGATCTTGATTTTAATAAAAATAATTTAATGATATTTGATGATTTACAATTGACAAAGCAAAACAAGTGTGAAAAATAATATATAAGCGGTATACAGGTTGTTTGTTTCTATTTAGCACAAAATTATTTAATGTTACCAAGAAGAACGATAAGAGAAAATGCAAATTTTATGTTTGTTTAAACAAGATTCAAAAAACGTAAATCATATTTAAAATGATCATGTTTCAAATGATATGTCAAAAAAGAGTTAAAAAATATTTGAAAAAAGTTTGGTCACAGCCGCATAAATTTGTTGTTATTGATTTGTCATCAAGTGTAGAAAATGGAAAATATAGAAGTGGTTTTGGTTGCTTTTATTTTCCATTATCTGTATTAACTAGTAAATGAAGTGTATATTTGTATAAATATACATTTAAAATAGCGATCCTAATGTTAGAATATTTTTAAGTGGTAAAATTTAACCTAATAATAAACCATTTCCTTTTGGTTCATATCTATTTCCTTTATAAAAGTAAAATCTATTTCCTACAGATTCCCCTTTTTTCCATGAAGGTACTAGTACTCCTTTTCCAGATTTTATAGCTTTATAAGCTCTTTCATTCTTTTTGATGTAAAGAATACCTTTTCCAGCAATTTTATTTACTATAGTACTTCCAGCATCTGTTGCTGTTCCTGCTAAGAATCCTGTTGCAACAGCAGGAACTACTTTTGAAGCGAGGAGACTCCCAATTATGCCTAGTAAAGGTCCTCCTTTTATATTTTTTACATTTGTTCTCTTATACCTATTTCCTTTATAAAATTAAAATTCATTTTCTACATTTTTCCCTTTTTTCCAGACATTTCAAGAAATTTTCTTCACTATAGCAGTTCCTGCAGCAGCAGTAGTACCTGCTAACAATCCTGTTGCTAGAGCAGGAACTACTTTTAAAGCGATAAGGCTACCAATGAAAGGCAAGAATCCTCTTTCCACTGCAATTTTTGAATTTTTACTTTTTGATTTACTCAAATGAAGTACAATACGTTCACTGTTTCTACATGAATCCATCATTTTTTACAGGGTGACAACCATAAGGTGAAACACATAAAGTAAGCTATATTTTCAAATTTAAGAGTTATATTTATTCGAAAATGGTATCAATAGAAAGCTACAAGTGTATTTAACAAGTTTTATTGGTTTAATTCGAACCTGTCACCCTCTGCTTTTATGCAGGCTCGACATCTCTTGAAAAGGTTTTCACACGTTACGCACGCACGGTTTCTTGTGGAATTTTGTCCCAAATGTCAATCAAAAGTTCCTTGAATTGGTCCAAAGTTGTTAATTTATGCTTCCCCATTTCTTGTAGCATGTATCCCCAGACAAAGAAATCAAGGGGATTGAGGTCAGGACTCGACGCAGGCTATTCTTTGGTATCGATAAAATCTGGGAAATTTTGCTTGCAGTAATCTTGAACAACAATAGTCTTGTGTGCAGGGGCAGAATCTTGCTGGAACACCCATGGATCATCACCATACATTTCTTTAGCCTTAGGTTCAATCAAATCTTTGATCACATTCTGTAAGTAGTATTCTTTGTTGATTTTCACCCCTCTATCGATAAATTTCAGAGAAAATTTCTCCTTTTTCGAGATGGCCCCGAATACCATGACCGCCGAAGCGTTCTGATAACGAAGGACAGTTCTAACGTTTAAAGGAACATCAGAGAGCTTTACAGCATAAACTCTGTAATTTTTTCTGTTCAACGGGCGCTCCAAAGTAAACATTTTCTCGTCCGAAAAAGCAATATCTGCACCACCGCGCCGCTTCAATAGCGATTTGCAGCGCTTGACTCTTTCCACCTTGTTTTTGTCAGTGAGGCCGGCAATTTTTTGCTTACGGTAGCACTTAAGTCTTAAATCTTGTTTTATAACCTTTTGCATAGAGGTATATGACATGTTCAGCTCTTTAGCTAGCTGCCGACCTGAGCAAGCAGGATTTCTTCGTAAACGTTCTCTTACCACTTTGATGATTGCTGGAGTGGGCTTGACGCGATTTCTTTTTCTAGTTTTAGCTGGAATTGTTTGCCCAGTAGTTTTGTAACGAGAAATTGTTCGACTAATCAATGATTTGCTGACTTTTATATCATTTAGGCATCTCCAAATATCAGCTTGACTAAAGTTATTTTGCGTAATGAAATTATCAGCTCCCTGATAGGATTTAGATCTGTATTTTTCATACAATCCCTCATTTTTTCTTCCTCAAATTTTTAAAACTTTTTCTAAACAAATGTCAAAACAAACTGTAAACAAGGGGAAAGTCATATGGTACAGGGTTAATAAATGATTAGGGTTCGAAAATGAGTTTCACCTTATGGTTGTCACCCTGTAAATTGCACTTTTGTTAAAGCGAGCTTATTTTTCCATCATAATCTGAGTTTGATAGTGATAATAGTTTCACTATTTTTAGATTTTATTTTACTTTTTAAATCATTGACATAAATTTTATTTTTACGCGTCATTTTTACTTGTGAATTTTTTTTTAATTGTTTTTTTTTTCTTTTAAAATTTTGATTAATTCTTTAAGAAGATCGACTTGTTCTTTTTGAAGCGTTTCTTGCTCACATTTAAAAGTTCTTTCTCTTATGTGAAATTTCATTGTTATTCTTTCTCCTTGTAAATCAATAAAATCACCATCTTGATCAATAAATATCGTTTCCATTTCACAATTTTTTCTTTTTAGAATGTTAAGGGTAAGTAAATGGGGACATTTGTTTTTTTTTATAAGTTTTGCTCCAGGAGCTACAGCGGGGTAAAATGTATAAATAATATTGCTAGGTGAATTATCTAAGTAAGATCCTGTTATAATATTATTTTTTAAATGTATAGTATTAATATGATTTATATCTATATTTTTTTCAGATTTATGAGAACCAGCTTTATATAATTCACTTTTAAAACCTAAAAGATTTCTAATGGATTTTTCAATTCTAAAATCAACTTCAAAAATTTGTTGCAATATACATTACTGCTTTAAATGTTATTTTATCTGATGCGAAAAGTAAATTCATAGGATAATTAGAGTCCTCTAATTCTTTTTGCATTCAGTCATTGATATTAGTAACTTCATAGGTCCCTTCTTTTATAGTACGAATACATTCTGTGTGAGTTTTTTTTTTTACATTATTGTAAACAATATAAGTAAAATTATTGTTATTTAAAGTATTATTTTTAAGTAAATTATATGTTTCTAAATTTATTAATGCCATTTCATAATTTTTTTTTCCATCAAATGGAATAGTTGGTATAAACCTTCTATTCATTATCGATGTATTTGTTCCAATACATACATCCATTTATATATATATATATATATATATATATACAAGAAATTTTTTTATATCATTTTACTTCTCTTATATGAAATTGTATTATTAATCTTTCTTTACCAATATCTACATCATGACGATCGTCATCAACTATTTTAACTATCATTTTTGAAAGTGTTTTTATTGGTAAATAACTTAAAAATTGCGTTTGTTCAATAATACTCATACCTGAAGGACGAGTAATGGGTAGAAATGTATGCATTACAGTAGTTTTTTTACCATTTATATTTTTTCCATCTACAATATTATTTAATATATACAAGCATCTTGTTTTAGTTGTAATACTATAGTAAATTGTTTCTAATCTTATAAATGCTATTTCATATTTTTTTGTTTTATCAAGCTCAATATTAGGATCAATTTGAATTGTAGTGATATTTGATTTATCTTTATGTACTTCAATATCCATTCTTTGTATTTATAATAATTCTTATTTAAATTATTATAAATCTATATCTAATTATTTTGTAACTTCTTTAATTTCTTTTTCATAGACTACTGCATCTTCTAATTTTACTTGTATAGATTAAATCGTTAAACCAATAAAAACTCCTTCAGTTCTTAAATATCCGACAATATCTTTTTTTAATAAGATCATGCCCAGAAAGTTCAGGGCATGATTTTATTAAAAAAATTGTTACATTGTTTTATAACCAATTTTATTATTTGATAGAATGTCATATGAATTATCAGATAAACCTATAGAAGAAGTTATTAATTTAAAACAATCAACTACAATGATAAGAATGCTCAAATATTCAGATGACTTTCATAAATCAACAGGATCAATTCAACTATGGTTTAAAGATACAACATCTACTGCAGTAGCTACTGATAACTTAGGATTTGTAGCAAGACAAATTAAAATTATTCAGAAACCTGCTACAAAAGCCCCATTTTCATTTTGTATTTTTTTAAAGGATATTTTCGGATTCTGTGACGATTATGATAAAGTGATTTACGGAGTAAAGCATTAACTAGTTATCACAAGAAAAGGTAATAATGATGCTATTTTTAGAGCTGCTGAAATAGCTGCAGGAAAAGTAAATCTTACAAAAGTATCATTATGGATGCAGCATGTAACTTCATCAGATACGATGAGAAGTGGACTTTTTAACTATATTTATTTGAAAGTAAGACTCGATGTTGATTTTTGTAGTAGAATATGTGAGTATAATTCTGTTATACCAAATGCTATGGTATTTAATTATAAACTCAGTGGAAGAACTGAAAGACCTAGATACATCCTTTTTGCATTCCAAACTAATAAAAGGGGAAATCAAAAAGTTAACCCTGCAGTATTCGATAATTGTGACTTGAAAGCAATTTCATTAGCGCCTAATGGAGAACGGTACCCTACAAACGATTATAATTTAACATTTGCATTTATTTAGATTCAACTACTTTTAATGAGAGGTTTTATGGAACGAATCAACTGTATGCAAAAAGCAGCATACATGATGTAGAATTTAGAGAATTATATCCTATCTATGTTGTTGATGTAAGCAAACAAACAGAAAGATTATAAAGTTCACCAGTAGATATTTAAGATTATACAACATTTAATTCACCTGCTCCAGCAAATACTTTACTATTTTCTGTTATAATATCTGATAAGCAAGGAAAACTTGTATCAGATGAAGAAAAATTTTATTTTCAATATTAGTATACTCTATATAAGAACTGATAAAAAAAATGTTCAATAAAAAAATTTATTTAAAATGAATTAAATAAATTTCTAAACATAATAAAAAAGAAGGGAAAACAAAGTGTATGAAAATTATTCTGAATATAAAACAGAATATGAAAAAAAAAAAGTTTAAATTAAAAAAAGAATTGTAAAATTAAGTGAAAAAATGGTATTAGAAGGTGAAAATTTGAAAAAATTAGAATTTAAAGGAGAAAGATTAGTAGATATAATAGTAGAAGAAGGAATGATATAAAATTTAGCAAGATTACCAGATATATAAGAAGAAGTATTAAGAGAATTAGAAGAAGACAGAAAAGAATTAATATTAAAAGAAAAAAAAAATTAAAAAACTAGAATTAAAAATTAAAGAAAGAATAAAAGAAACAAGTTTACAATTAAAAATAGAAAAATTTAGATTAGAATTAATAACAAAGGAAAAAATATTAGTAGATTTACTAATAGAAACAGGATTAATAGAAAGATTAGATTTGATATCAAAACTAGTATTTGAAGAAGAAAGATTAAAATTAAAAAGATTTAAAAAAATAATAATAAAAATAATTACGATAACTAAAAGAAGAAGAAATAAAGATTAAGAATTAAAATTAGAAAAAAAAATGGTTTAATAAATTTTTTTTTAAAGAATTAAAGTCAGAATTAGAAGAATTAGAAGAAGACAAGTAAAAATATAAAAAATATATAAAAATATATAAGAAAAGATAAAATAATTTAAATTATTTGCATATTTCATTTTTATTATTTTATAATAAAAATGAAATATGCAAAGAAGTATTTAACAAATCTATTAAAAGAAAAAAATATTCAACAAACGTCTGATAACCTTATTACATTAGTTATGCTTGCTATGGATAATGGTTTAATTAATAAAGAGTCTGCATTATCAGATGCATATATTAAAAATAAAGTTGAAAAGCCAAAGATTCATCCAGAAATAGTAAGGGCTAAAAGAATTAAAAAAGAAAAAGTAGAAAAATCAGAAAGACCTGTTCGAAGGCCAAAATTTCATCCTATAAAAGATAAGAAAGAGATAGACCCAAAATTTAAAAGATTAAAAAAAATTAAAAATGAGCCAGTAACTATTAAACTCACAAGCACCAGGAGAAAAAAAAATATGCAAGTCTTTATATGAATTTATAAGAGAGACAAAACGTGGATATAGGTATATTGAATTACAAAATGGAAAAGTTGAAGATGGATTTAAAGTTATGATATTAAGTTCTAAGAAATTTTCAGGAGACTCAGTGTTAAAAGAAAATATGATTTAAAAAAATCTAACTATATAAAAATATGCAAAGCTCAAATGTTAATGTCAATTTATGCATAACAGCTATATTTGCAAAACACAAATACAAATACAACTGTAACAACGACTTCATCTAGAAACTGTAATTAAAGAAATTTTTATAATTAAAAATATTATTACAAGATTTTTATTTACTTACAAGAATTTTTAATAAAAAATAAAAAAACATTGAAAATAATATAAACAATTTTCTTTCCTATATAAAAATGAAAAATAAAACTCTCAGAGAATTGAAACATATCGCAAAAGAGCGAAATATCAAGTATTATTATAGAATGAGAAAAGAAGAACTTTTAGAAGTTTTATCTCAAAATGAACAAACATCATACATATTAGACGAACCCATTCCAGAACACATTACACAAAATACTTTAACACCAACTTAGTATGATCGAAATAGGTATATAAAAATTGTTAATGATAAAGTGAAAGAAATTGCTAATTTGATTATGTCATATGTTCCTAAACCTACTAAAAAGGCAACTAATAGAAGAATTAACGAATTAAAGTTTACAGTTTCTAATTTGTATAACAGATTTGAAATTAGAAGACCAATAGAATTCAAATTGACACGATCATCCATTAAAAACGTGACAAAACAATTTTCAGCTGAAGGTGAATCAGCTAAAAACAGTGCTAATAAAATACTGAATAGTAATAAAGGATCTTAGTTATGATGGTGAAAAAATATTGTCTGAAGAAACAAGATTTGTGTTATCTAGAAGTTTATAAATTCAAAAAGTCTTTTAGTTACTATGTGTTCAATAAAATGGATTTAGTTGTTTGTAAATCATCCCGACAAAAAATTTGTAAATGATCTCGACAAGAAAATGGCCCACATATGGCGATAGTTGCATTTTTTCTGATGAACTAATGAGTTTTCTGCAATTGGTGTAAAAAAAATATTTTTTTTACATTTTTGGAATCTGTTGTCCCATCCAATGTTATAGATACTTGCAAACTTGTTTTAGGACAAAATATAAATTGTGTGGGTAATATTTAAATAACCAATATGACTGATAAAGTTCAATATGGCTGGCAAAATTTTCTATTTTTAAGTGTTATCAATTTTTTTTGCTAATGATGAGCTGAATACTTGTTCTACGGTAAAATATACTTTTAAAATTTTCAATGTGGCCACCAAGAGAGTAAAAATTACAAGTTTTGTTTAAATGTTATTATAAAATGAATAGTACTAATAATACAAACATACTAAATATGGTATAAATGACGTAAACAGAAATTAAAGAAATGCATATTTTATGTAAACACATTCGTTTTTGTTAAAATTTTTTACGATCATACTGTACAAATATTTGTATATTATTATATTTCTTGTATACAAACACAATTACATTTCTTGTAAACAAACACAAATGTTTATTAATATCTATTCAAACATCCATGCATTGTAACTTTTGTGTGAAAAGTCTAACATGGCAATACATTAATTTATAATAAATGTTGATAAGGAGGTATAGTGATACCGTAAATATTAATTTCATGCACTCTTCCTTTGTAAGATGGATAAAATCTATAAGTTCTCGGTGACTATTGACAACTAGAATAATGTTATCATTACGTTTACCTTGCTCTGAATAGTTAACATAATGTGTAACATCTCTGACTACTCTCTCTTCTACATCATTGACCGCCGCAATGCTGTAAAGGGTATGACTTAATCTTTGATATGTGTGATGATGCCTGAGGCTGAAAATCCTGCAGACCTCATTGAGACTGAAACTAGAGAGTGGAACTAGAGACTGGAAAAAATCACGTTTCTACTATAAAGACTTTTTTCACTCACATTGAGACATATTAACAAGATCTTTTGTCAGATATCGCAGGTGAGGAGAGATTGACTTCTGCACTGCGGTAGTGATGGCTTCATAAATAGCTTTATCAATATAGAAAAAATATATTATTATATACACTATTACCTGAAAAAATAGAGTACAGTAAACCAATAGTACCAATAAATCAATAGTACAATAAACAAATGATAATTTTATGCAATAAAGTGATAGATAATTAATAACGCCAAACCTCAAAACCCTTAACAGCCTTTCATAATTGAAGGTCTAGACGGGTTGCTGCTACTTTAAGAGGAGCCTGCAGCCAATACCTGGCATAGTGAATTGTAATGAATGTTGCCATTTTGTTGACAGCCTTTCACAACTCTGCTCTTGTTAGATCTGGTAACTTAATAATGGATATGGCAAAAGTAGAAAGCCTTGACCATGAACCGTACATGTTGACAGGCTTTTGGTTTCTCCATCCAAAAGCTGTGTACAGGATTCCTATGAGGTTTCTAAATCTGGATTTATAGTTGTCATACATTTATAATGTTATGTTTGGAGACATAATATAAAAATAATGGTTAAATTTTAGAATTATGGATTATGCATAATTATAGTGACTTGTTTTATTTACTTTATGGTTTGTACCTGTCTATCTAGAAAATGTGTACACAGTTCACACTTTTTATAATCTTTTCTTGGGAAGGTTTTTCTGACACAGTCTTTTTCTAGGAAGAGTCTTGCATCCTTGGCCTTAGCCACAAAAAGACTGTCTGTTTGTTGTAAGGTGACCAGGTTGTGTAGCCAGGCCTTTGCCGTTGATGTAGATCATACTGGTCAATCTGTTCAAAACTTTGTTTGAAGTAAACAAACATACGATCATCTAAAATTTAAAAATTTAAGGCCTAAAATTTTACAACCACATATTTCTTGTTAAATATTAATAAAATGGTGGCCAGAAAGGCCGGCCAGAAAAATAGAGTGATGTACATACTAAAGATACCAGCTTTATTTGCATAATGAATATGTTGCTCTGCTACATGATGACGTCATTCCAGACTAAGAAATGGCCTGCCAAGGCCTTGCTGAAGATAATGTCTGCTCCACTTAGTCAACCGCTATTTTAAGCAGTTGTCTCTCAGCAGGTGGCAACAACCTTATTTTTTATATCCTATGTGTCACAGGTGACTATGAGAGCTTTGGCCTAAGAAATACCTGTTCCATTTTCCATCTTTGGCGCTGTGAGAAACTGCTTAGTTGGCTGGTCAAGAGGCAACTGGGCAACCATGCACAATTGTTCCTGTGTTTTGTTAGAGGCAAATTTGACTTGTTTAGCATCCCAAAGCAGTACAATTATACCAGGATTAACTTATTCTTTTATCTTTCTCACCTTTGATTCTTTGGCGACTTATGGTGGAGCGGCTAAATACAACATCATTTAGTTTATCAGAACCAGCTAATATCATTTGAGGGAATATCGAAAGTTTAGCATTGAGACTGAGCTGTAATCGGTACCAAATTTGATGTGATTTCTTAGAGGGTCTTGGATGATAGGTCTAGCTTCATTGACTCTTGTCGTTA